AAAAAACAGCATGTGTGGGGGAGGGACTTAAAGGATAAATAAGATTTGAATGGCTGATGATTACAAACAGAATGAATGCCACATGCAAAAGAACAAATGCATGAAATGCATAAATGATCAAAAAATCACAGCGAGTCTATTTTATCTAGAGCCCATTGGAAGATGTAATGAGAGGAGAATCTGTATCTATCTTTTGGAACATCATTAAGAACCTTGAATCTAAGCTCCCACTAAAGAACTTTTATTTATGCATGTATTATTTGAATATTTTTGTTTGTAAGAGTTGGGCTTTTCTTTCACAGATTTCCTCTTTCCTTTGTATTAATCCAAATACTAATGAAAAGCATCAGAGATTCAGGTAATCTTGAAACAGCAATAGAGTGTTTACACATTCTAAATCAGTTTACCCATGAACATGGATCTGTATCATGAATGACTAAGTAAAGCAGAAAAGTTACCACCTCAAATATGAACTACTCATGAATAAAGACCCAGTATTGAAATAAAGATAAAAATAATATTGAATAAGAAATAAAATAAAAATTTTAAATGTTGAAAATAGGTTATAATGTTAACACAAAGGAATTCATTGAAGAATCAGTAATAGAAGTTTGGTTAAGAAAAGTAAGCAAGGATAATTTTTGGTTTGAGGTCTTAATTAGGTCACCCTGCAGATCACCACTTTCTCTTCTAACACACAGACACACCAGGAACCAAACATAAGACAGGGGCTCTGCAAAATAAGCCTGTGTGGTCAGTGGTGGGAAGTTATGTCCTTCACAGAAATAAAGGATTCCTTCCATTCAAAGTATGACACTCATTCCTCTTTCCTTTCAGTTTTAGGTGGCCTCAGATTCCCCAGATCATCACAGCTCCAAATGCTACACACCTCTGATTGGTCATCCCAGAAGAGGTCAGAGGAACCATGGGAAACCACACCACTGTCACTGAGTTTGTCCTCCTGGGGCTCTCAGATGCCTGTGAGCTGCAGATGCTCATCTTCCTGGGGCTCCTCCTGACCTACCTCCTCACTCTACTGGGGAATCTCCTCATTGTGGTCATCACCCTCATAGACAGGCGCCTCCACACTCCCATGTACTATTTCCTGCGCAACTTTGCTATCCTGGAGATCTGGTTTACCTCAGTCATCTTCCCCAAAATGCTGACCAATATCCTGACCGGATATAAGACCATCTCCCTACTAGGCTGTTTCATACAAAGTTTCCTGTATTTCTTCCTGGGCACAACAGAGTTCTTCCTACTGGCAGTGATGTCTTTTGATAGGTATGTGGCCATATGTAATCCCTTGCGTTATGCCACCATCATGAGCAAAAGGGTCTGTGTCCAGCTAGTTCTTTGTTCATGGATGACAGGATTTGTCCTCATCATCATTCCAACTTTCATCATATTTCAGCAGCCATTTTGTGGCCCCAATATCATTAATCATTTCTTCTGTGACAACTTTCCACTCCTGGAACTCATATGTGCAGATACAAGTCTGTTAGAGCTCCTGGGTTTTATTGTGGCCAACTTCAGCTTACTGGGCACTCTGTCTGTGACGGCCAC